TTTGAATGTCAGCAGACAGCAAGAAGCCTCCCAGATCTCCAGATGCATTTGAGATTAAAAAAAGTACTCCAGAGTGTTGTTCAGCATGGGGGTGAGTAGAAAATGAAGGCTAATTATGTTTTGGGTGTACTATTCCTTTAACAAAGCTACTGCTGGTCTCAGAATCTACTGATCTAGGCACAGCTAGGGAAATCAGTGATATACATCCACCATCATGATTATCTGACTGCTATGTCCCCTGTGCCTGCTATGCTATGAAGAAAAGTGCCCTATTTTGGGTCTGATTCAAAGATACTGGTAGTCGGTCAGATTCACAGGGAGCTAAACCTGATCTACAGCATCATTTGGCTGCCAAAGGGAGGATAGAATTGGGACTGAGGGAAAAAGGAGGGATGCTTGGACTTTTCAATATCTGTGCCACACTTTGGACAGCCCTGGCCAAGTGCATGCTGGATGCGGGAGGAAAGTGACGAAAGGAAGAACTTTGGGGGCTTTCTACTGTGAAACCAGTATAAGTTTTCTCACCAGTCCCTCCTCTCCAGGCTCTGCAGAGGTCACGGCCAGATCTTCTCCTCCAGGGTTAAAACCCTTGATCTCCAGCCCATAGCTGTCCTCCGGCTGCCGCAGCCAGGCCTGCAGCAGGGATTTGATGTCAATGCTCTGCCAGGAGCTGGCTCCAGCTTCAGTGTCAATCTTCAGGGAGCGGACCCGCACCCTGGTGGTGTTCCCCTCCCTGGCCGGCCTGAGGCGTGACACCTGGAGGAAGACACTGGTGTGGATGTTGGATGGACGCAGGTGAACCCACAGCTGTGCGCTCAGGATGTTCTTAGGCTGGATCTTTGGACTCAGGCTGAACAGGCAGCAGGAAGACATCTCCTCTGGGGAGACGGGACCTGCTACAAGAAATAAGTTGATATATTTGAAAAGTTTCACATTAAAGTTAACAATCTTATTGCTCTAAAAAGAACCAAACTCGCATGATTTATGCAACAACATTTACGCACGGGCTGCGTTTTGACTGGAAAAGTATTGCAGCTAAAACGCAGAAGCAGGAAATGCGTTTACGCTTTGTTGCCATGGTGATAATGGTCTCGGTAGTGGTGTGCTCCGCGTCCTCCACCCGTGGGTCGTACTGGTCCAGCAGCTGTGTCAGAGGAGGCGCCTTGGGGATGAGCTGGCGGATCATGTCCCTGCTGATGTTGGGCGCCTGCTCCAGCCGCAGGATGCTGAGGATCTGGGACCTGATGCTGTGGAGCCTCAGCTGCTTGCTGTGTTCTCGGAAGTCGCAGGCTGAGCACTGCTCCAAGCCGTCAGAAAGCAGCTCGGAGGTCTGGTTCATCTCCATGGTGCAGCCTGCAGAAAGGATGGCGGTGAAAGAGAGTAAGAGGAGCATCCTGCAGAGAGGAAGGAGAGAGCGATGTGACTCTGAAGTGAGGCTGGTCTCAGGACTTTATGATTGGCTGCAAAATATGTTTTTTTTTTATTTTTTTCCCTCTTTGTGTGGAAGTGATATTTAAAGAGGCAGCAGGAGTTTCAAACTATTTATTGGTCCAATTTAAAAAGACAGACCAGCTGAGAAAAACATATTGATCACCTGGTTCTTCTGGAGAAGAGTGTTTGTTTTAGATCACAGGTAAGTAAGGAAAGGAAGAACCTGAAAGAAGCAGCAAGGCTCTGCAAGCACTGAACCAGTTAAGCAAAGTGGGTGGGGAGGCTGCCAGTCCATCACTGAGACACAACCATGTACACACAGAGTTACAGCTAAGGAAAGTTTTAGAGAGAAAAAAAGGCTTAACAATCTAGGGGTTTGGATATTGGAAGGAAATCAGAGTGAAACCATACAGAAAGACACCAAGCTGGATTTCCCTTGGGGAAAGCAATGGGGCAACATCGCCACCAGAGGGGAGTGTTGCTTGCCAAGTGTGTCCTAAATAGAGTTTAACCCACTTTATTTTCTTTAATTTTAACCTTTTCCAGTGTAAATGTTGACTTTAGAGTAAAAAAAACAAAAACAGGAAGACTTTGTCTTAAATGCTAAGTTAGAAGCAGGCTAGGATGCGCTGAGCTTGATGAAGGAAAATATTGAAAAGCATACACATTTATATTATTTTACATTTGACAAATAAATTGTACATGGAAATGTACAATTGGTTGACTTGGTTTTATTAGGCAAACATACTACCCACAGCAACTCTCTGAACTGGATTAAAATAAGTTTATTTTAAATGAATCACTATTAAAATATGAAACTGACAGAGATTCTCTCAATTCCCCATTTAAACTTACTGCAGTTCCTCGTGATGTCGCTCTAGGTGTGGCAACTGGTTTTGCCTGCTAACCAAAGCAGGGTATCGTCTGCATACAGGAAGAAGGTCAAGGAAATATTCTCCACCTGACAGCAACATGCCAAAAAGATGTCTTAGGACAGAGTTGGGGAATGTCGCTGTCCTACAGCTTTTACATGTGTCCCCACTCCAACAAACCTGACTAATTAATGGTTAATGGTCAGGCCTCTGCTAAACCCACCGACAGGCCAAGGAGGTAACTTTTATTTCTAATATGTTGTAAGAGTAAAAGCTGCAGGACAGTGGCACTCGAAGACAGATGTTGCACACCCCTATCTTAGGAGATCAACTTTCAGCCCATAACAGCTTAATCTTTCCTGCAATATAAGCTCTAACCTTTTTTTTTTTTATTGTTTTTTGTCACAGTCTTGGTTTTGTTATGTTTATTTAGAGTATTCAGTTTTACTT